ATACTGCCACAAGCCCAGGAATGCTAAAGATTGCTAGCAACCACCAGAAGCTGGAACAGACAAAGAAGGAGCCCTCCTTAGAGCCATCAGAGTGAGCATGATCCTGCCAACACCCAAATTCCAGACTTATGCCTCCAGAAATGTGAAATAAGTTTCTGTTGCATTACACAAAGCTACCCAGTTGTGGCAGTTTGGTACAGCGGCCCAGGCAGCCAATACACAATGCATCCCCCATTCTATCTTGTCATACATAGGATTTTGGTCATTGTCTATTAGTGCCTTGACAGAATATAATCTGCTTCCTGGAAGGTAGAAGGAAGCGGCCAGGAAGGTGGAGGCAGAAGGAAGTGACTCACCACGGGACTTCGGCCAATGCTGCTCAGGTGGTAGAGGAGGCCTTTTGCATGGTAAATGGTTGGCTGCAGATGAGCACTGGGAGAAAGCCATTGTCTGTTCAAATCTTCCCCGCTCAGTGAGCATCTGTGGCTACAGGAACAAACAATAAGCAAATAAATACACATTCAGAAGAAAATAACTTGAGAAAATAAAGCTCCACAAGATAAACAATTAAACTAATGAGTTCAAAACTTTCCTCTGATTTCTGCCCAATTGGCATCAATTTCAGATGTCCAGAAAGCTGTAGATCTGTCCTTTAAGCTCCAAAGTATCATAATTATCCACAACCCCCAAATGAACTAGAAACCATATTTGACTTGCTGTTGGATTATCAGAGTTTTAAGACAAAGTTGGAAAATGCAGTTCTCTATTATATACATCCATGGGGAATAAATTTAATAAATTTCTCTAGGCTATGGATTCTTCAGTTCTACAGATAATTAAGTTGTATTCAATCTATCATACTGGGTGTGTTACATATGATATTTCCAGCTGGTTCAATAACTCTGCAAGGTAGACGTTAGAGACTGAGGCTTAACTATGATTAAATAAATGGCTGGAGATCTAGGCCATAAGAAAGAGCTAGGTTTCCCCCCCAGGTTTATTTGCTTCTAACCCTTATTCTCTCTCTTTTATTGTGCTGCTTGACATTTACCAAGAGAATCAGAGTGCCTTTTTCAAATATATCATCATGGTATGTTAGAGCAAGAATGAGCTCAAAATCATACATTCCCTCATTTGGGGAATGATGATGTTCATATTCAAAAGTGCCAAGTTACTTTACAAAAGTGACCCAGCTGGTAGTGAGAGGATTGACCACCATTCACAGTTAGGAAACTGAGATGCTGAGTTGTCAGGTAGAGTGATCCTAAAAACCCACAACCACCAGAGATTACCAAGGGCAGCCCCTGCACAGGACATGTTCCCAGTAGTCCTGCTAAAGTATTATTTACTCAATAGTGTCAATGAGCTAAGTGCCACAGATTGGGAGGATCAGCGCAGCATCTCCAAAACCTCCAGCACCCCTAGATCCTCCCAAGCCCTCCACCATTGTCCTTCTGCACCCAAGCTCAATGGAATTACTAACAGTTCCCACTCGACTTATGGCCTCCAGAATTGTGAGATAAATTTCTGTTGTTTTAAGCTACCCAGTTTGTGGTAATGTGCAGCAACAGCCCTAAGAAACCAATACACAATACATCGTCCATTCTATCTTGTCATACATAGGTTTTTGCTGGGGCTCCTCCATCCTCATGCACCCTTACCTCTTCAACATTTAGGGGATCAATCTGCAGGGGAATTTTCTCTGATTTTCCAGGCCATTGCATCCATCTCCTATTTGCTGCAATAACATCCTGAGGCCGCCTTGATCAGAGTCCTTATGAAACCATTTTGGATGGATTTTTATTTTTATGTCTCTTGACTTCCCAATAAGACTAGGAGCTTCCTGGGGGCAAGGACAGTGATAATCTCTTGGTCACCTTCAAAACTCTAATATAGTAACTCTGTCAGAGTTGATATTGGGTAAATAATTTGGAAAGAATAAATTTACCAGCATTCATATGCATATTCAGATATGATTTCTGTTTTGTTTTGTTTCAAACACACTGTTTTCAATAAACATTGGAGGTAAAAAGAAGGTTCAGTCTTCAGTCTTCTCCTTTTACCACTTATTCAGTTCAATGTTCCTGAAATTATCTTTAAATATTAGCTTCCTGCTGGCTGTCAGACCCTCTTACAACTTACTGGAAACTGAAAATCTTTAGATTAATCACTTATCCTGATTTCTCCATTAAAATATTTTGACTTGATAAATGGCAGGTCTTGTGCATGTTCCTCTCTGGCTTTTTTTGTTCTTTGCCTGCTTTTTTTCTCCCTTTCTCTTTTCAATAGCAATAACATCTAGAAATAGGGTTTATCAGTTCTTCCTGATGACCAAGGATGAAGGTAAAATATGAAGCAGATTTTCAATGCCGATAGCAACAGAAAGGAACAGGCAGCCCAGACTTGCTCTCGAGCACATTTGCTGTGTTTAAATGAATTTCTTTTCTCAAATCAAGGTACTTGCAGGCACAACATCCCAGAGCCCCAGGATTCTCTTTGACTGCTCTGTGATTTCTCTTTGCCTTGACCTGGATTCTCATCAACACTGGGGATTTGTTTTTTCCTTTGTAACACTGACTATGATGAAATTAGTTGAGGCCCTTTAAAAGCATTTCTGCTTGTACATTTGAAAATGTAAGCATTACATGTGTCCAGCAGCCAGCAATTCTGTATGAACTCTCTCTACGTCTTCTTTCCCTATGCTCCATGGAAACCAAGTTCAGGGGCAATATCTACATGGAGAAGGCTCATGTATTACCACCTTGCAGAAATACTATTTTAGATCACAATTTCCAAGAACAAAAAAATAAAGTTTTGTGCTGAAGCCAGAAACCCAAATTTGAATAAGAAGACCTAGTTCCAACTCCAAGCTGCTACCAGATATAGGATTTGAGACCTCTTTGACAGTCAGCATTCTCATGTGTGAAATAAGTAAGTCAAACATCCCCCTAGGTTTATTTTGAGGATCGAATGAAATATCTATTTTAGATATCCCTATAGAGAAATACCATATACTTCTATCTCTACCTATGTCTGTGTCCATGACTATATCCACATCTGTATCTACGTCTACATCTTCATCTACATCTAAAATGCTCTAGGATGCATAGCACAACTTTGACTACATTCACTGGTTCCTTACCTCATCCTAATTTTTTTTTTCTTATAAAGAATGATCAGATAGCTATATGCAGGGTGAATGGAAGGGAAAAGTGTCTTGACTAGGAACTCCAGGCAAGACGCTGTGATCAGTTTTAAGTAACAGTTTACTTGGACACATCTAAGGGTAGGGGCAGTAGGCTGAACAGAAAAGAATTTAAGAAAAACTGAAAAGAAATAATCAGTAGAAATTGCTGATTGAAATTTGGATTGCTAAACAGCGCAAAAAAGGAGGACCACATCTAAGATTATCTAAATATAGAGATTTGGAGAGAAATTGGGCCAATGTAAGACATACAGAAGAAAGCTCTTATTTTGGGGAAAATTTGGTTTGTTTGTTGTCTGTTTTGGAGAGGTAGAGGCAATGAATCATTCCATTCGTGTAGATAGATTGTGTGGATTTGGGAAACCCATGTGATTTTATTTGTCTTCAGGACTCTATGGTGGTTATGATTTGGAGAGTATCTCTGTGTGTGCCTAGGGTTTTGGCAGTCCCTATATGTATGCAATTGCAGGTTATTATAATATGTACAACACCTCGAGTGCTTTTCCTTTTAAAGTAAATCCATTTGCTTCCAATCTCTGAATCCATTTGGCATTTTGTGTTAATAATATCAGAGATTCGTGTAGTCAGAGGAACTGTTGCTGCTCTTCCCAGGGATTTGTTTCAAGCATTTGAAGATAAAATGCACTCCATCTTCTTATCTACTGTAGCATTTCTGAAATGACAGCTGCTCCTTCTATGGGGGGAGAATTAGCAGATGGACAGCTATGACTGACTGGCAATAAATTCAGTGTCTCTAATCTGAAAAGGGGTCCTCTCTCAAACAGTTTGAAGTTCTGCTTTCTTTATAAGAATCATAAAATGGTGATTATTGCTACAGTTGGCCCTCCGTATCCATGAATATGGAGGGCCAACTGTACTAAGCCATTTTATATAAGAGACTTGAACATCCACGAATTTTGGTATCCATGGTAGTGGGTGCGGGGAAGGTGTCCTGGAACCAATAATCTGCAAATATCAAAGCACGATGTTATTTTTCCCTCCACTAAAAACTGCAAAGTTAAAGGAAAAAATTATCCACTTCATTTTGTTTTTCACAAATAAAGACATTTGATCTGACTTGTCCTCCTTATTTTAAAAAGCGTTAGTTTAAATAGCTAGTTTAAGATAAAGTTTATATGCACTAAATATGCCAGATCTAGGATGCTCAGATATCCAGTTTGTCTAGGAATGTTGCATTTTTAGCTTTGAATGCTTGCATCCCAGTGACTCTCTCAACAAATGCACACCAGAAATGTGATAACCTTGCCTAGATCCTTAATTTTAGAAGGTGGTGCAGAGCTGGAATACTTGACCAAAACTAGGCTGAATTATTTTGCACTGATTGAATGTTTTTAGGCGGGACTTTCACACTCCACTGAGGCTCAGGCATCCTTATCACCTATGTTTTCCTAGATTGTTTCCCACATGCATTATCTTCCTGTTCTTTTCAGGCATTTGCAGCCAATGTCTGGAAAATTCCTAATCCTTAAAACAGGTTTTTTCTCCAGCCTGGGCGACAGAGCGAGACTCTGTCTCAAAAACAAAACAAAACAAAACAAAACAAACAAACAAACAAAACTGAGGTTTTTGTGGGGCATACCTCTTTCCTTAAGAAAAGAGAAGAAAGCTTCTGATCTCCAGAAAATATAGTCATTTTATGATGAAACAAAAGCATCTCAACTGAAGTTATCAAAGAGTCAATCAGCAGCACTAGTCCTAACTAAAGGGTCACTGAATAGAAGCCACCAGCTGCACGATATTCTGAGTAAAAGGGAACTTTAAAGGCTGGACAGTTTCAAGGACAATGATATCACTAAAAATAATTCTTTTAACATTAATTGTGGATCTCGTTTATCTGCTGAGAACAGGAATCATCCAGAGGTTGGGAAACAAGTAATATAACCAAAGGCTTTAACAACTAGATCCTGAACTACCAGGACTCCTAAAGCCAAGAAAGGACCACAAGCAGAGAAAGAGTAAAAGTGAGTCACTTTCTAAAAACGAATCTATAGAGCTGCCTTCAGAATACAAGAGGATTAAAAAATCTCCCATCCGTCCACGACTAAAAAGTAGAGGGACAGAGTCCATCAGACTGAATAAATGATCCCAGGCTCGATAATATTAGTGCCTGCAGCACAGCAAACTCTGGAGCCTAAAGAGAGGCAGCATGTTTGAGATTTAGGCAGCAGCTTCACCATTCACTACACATCCTAGGTGCAGAAGGCAGCCAAGGGTACAAGAGGAGAATATCTATGAAGGCAAAGAGATACATTAAAGCTTC